TCCTCGAGGAGGTCAATGGTGAGCGTGGTGGGGAAAAGGGAGAGGAAGTGGTCTCTGACTGAGCGAAGGGAGTCAGGGAGTCGGGTGACGAGGTAGTAGAGAGTGATGTACATAGGGGGGGGGTTCGCGGCGCAGAACTAGGTAGGAAGCGCAGCGCGGTAGCGGGTGTCACTAGTACAGAGGTGCGTAATGAGGTCAGCAACTGTGGCAAAAGCGGCGAAGTCAGGGAACAGGTACGGCAACATGAGGCGGCTAAGAGCAGTAGTGGCAGGGGAGGAGTAGCGCGCAACAACAGCGTCGTACAGAGTCCTAGCGGTCTTGTATTGGCTAAAGTGCGCGCGCTCAGCAGACGGCAGGTGACTACGAACAGAGAGGCGCGGAGCCGCATCACACGTGGTCCACTGCGAGCAAACGGCACTGTCAGCATCGGCAGCAGGTGCAACAGCGACGCCAGACGTGTGATCGAACAGTGAAACTCCGTCCCTAGAGTCGCACTGCAGAAAGAGCTTGAGGTCATCGACCCAGACCTTGAAGTCTACCGCTCGACCCTCAGCATCGAAGGTAAGATAACTAGGGCTAGCCATGGCGGCAGTAGCAGTGGTAGTAACTCGAGCAGCTGCAGCAGGTTAGCACTAGCTGTAGCAGCAGTAGTTGCAATAGCAACAGTAACACTAGCTGTAGCAGCAGTCGGGCTGGGCGGCGCGGTTATGAATGAGCGGCACGACTCGTGCTAAGTGGTGGAGCAGCAGCAGCACGTAGCAGCAGCATCCGGTGCGCAGCAGCAGGAGCGAGTAGCTGTAGCAAGTAGCAGTAGCAAGGAGGAGCAGTTGCAGCAAGTAGGAGCAGCTGCAGCAAGTAGCAGCAGCGGCAGCAAGTAGTAGCAGCTGCAGCAAGTAGCAGCAGCAGCAGAAAGTTGGGGCAGCTGCAGCAAGTAGCAGCAGCAGCAGCAGCAAGTCGGAGCAGCTGCAGCAAGTAGCAGCAGCAGCAGCAAGTAGGGGCAGCTGCAGCAAGTAGCAGCAGTGGCAGCAAGTAGGAGCAGCTGCAGCAAGTAGCAGCAGCAGCAGTAAGTAGGGGTAGCTGCAGCAACTAGCAGCAGCGGCAGCAAGTAGGAGCAGCTGCAGCAAGTAGCAGCAGCGGCAGCAAGTAGTAGCAGCTGCAGCAAGTAGCAGCAGCAGCAGCAAGTCGGGGCAGCTGCAGCAAGTAGTAGCTGTGAGAATGTAAGAACAAGGAATGAGAAGAAGAAGGAGTTCACTAGCAAACATTGGGATACATATAGCCAACCCTAACAGGGTTGTACTCACTATAGAGTACCCCACTGCAGACTAGAGAAACATAATATTCTGACACACCCCCATAGTCAAAGTGGGGTGTAATCAGCACAAGAAGCAAAGCAGAACAAGCTCAGGGTGGATCACAATGTCACCACACATTCTGAGCACAAGTACAAGAAGCAACAGTTTATAATTCACAAATATAAGCAAAGCTAGAGGCTATCGCAGAGGGCAAGTGTGGAGGAGGAGGGACTTTGAGAGGAGAGGAGGTAGTGGGCGGCAGCTGAAGCTGCTGGCACACGGCGCAACTGGAGCAACTGGCACACGGGCAACTGGAGCAACTGGCACACTGGCAACTGGAGCAACTGGCACACGGGCTACTGGAGTAACTGGCTCCGCGGCTAACTCTGAGCGGCAGGAGCAACGGACTCACGGGCGACTGGAGCAACTGGCTTACGGGCGACTGGCGCAACGGGCTCACGGGCGACTGGCGCAACGGTCTCACGGGCGACTGGAGCTGCGGGCTTCACGGCGGCCACCCCCCTTCAACCTCCCCAAACTATCCCACCCCCCTTTCACACACCCCCTGCTGCACCCCTAGGTTCACTCACACTCCACCCCCTAGCACCACTCCGTCGAATCCCACACACCCACCCCCCTCAGCGGCAGCTGCAGCAGTGGGAGACAGAGGAGGAGGAGGAGCAGGGGAGACCACACACCCGCCACCCCCTACTCGCCACCCCCAAACCCTAAGCACGATGTGCTTCATGCGCTTCATGAACCCTGGCTTGTTTGCGATCTTGATGGCGCTCTGGTTGTCGCTGTGTAGGCGAAGTTGGGATTTTCGCTTCCTGCAGCAACTCCTGCAGGTACAGACCTTCGCGAACTGCTGCTATCGCGGCGATGTATTCTGCTTCGGTCGATGACAGGGCAACCAGCTCCTGCTTCTGCGAGTTCCAAGAGATTTGTCCTGTTGGCTCCAGGCGGAAGGCAAAGCCGGTTCGTGACCCGTCGATTCGCAGGATCAGCGGTATGATTTGCGTCCACGTAGCCGTTGAGGTTGAAGGAGGTTGTCGTCAACATGGAGTAGGAGAGCCCCATATCGGTTGTGGAAATGAAGTACTACAAGGCGCGCTCCAGGTCCAGCTGGTTCTCAGCTACTGGCTTGCGAGATTACTGTAACAGTTAGCTGGCGATGTACGAAAGTTCGGGTTGGCATGTGACAGAGGCGACCAGTAGGCACCCCAGTTGCTGCTGGTACAGTTGGAGTCCTGCGGGCGACAGAGGTTTGTTTTCCGGTTTGTAGTTGGCGCTGGGGTTGCAATAAGGAGTTGGCAGTGGTGCGGGTGAGATGCTCTGCGTGATTGGAGGGTGACAGATGAATTGCTTCTAGCGCGTAGGTGATGTTTAGCCCCAGAAACTCTGTGACGTTGTGGTTGATGGTGATGTCAACGCGCTGCGCTAGGTTCTCCTCAAACTGATTAAGGAGTTTGTTGCAGGTGCCGGTATAGAGCAGGTCATCAACGTAGACGGTCAGGAGGATGTAATCGCTGTTGAAGTGGAGGCGGTACATTCCCGGGTCCTGCGGCAGCTGCCCGAAGCCAATTTCAAGGAGGAGGATTTTGTGCAACTCATGGAGCGACACTATGCCTGGCTGCAGCACATGATGAGGCGCGGGAAGTTCGTGCTGAAGTACATCCCGACCACCGAGCAGCCGGCTGACTTCCTGACGAAGGCGCTGCATTTTCCGGCTTTCAACCGGTGCTCTATCGCCATCGGCCAAGTTCGCCTTGCCGACGTCGGCGACGACGACGACGAGGTGCAGCAGTAGGTGCCGTGCCCTTCTGCACGGCTGGTGCGATGACGACGTGCTGTGTGTGGGGTGCACGCCGAGGACGAGTTTTCTCCGTGGAGTACTGCCGTGTGGGCTCGAGGCCCAAGCGTGAGCGCGGCAGGGGAGTATTAACAAGAATGAAGTGTTGTCCCCGCCCTCGCTTGGCAACGCCGACGACTTGGTCGGATGTACGGGAGTAGCAGTCGACCGTTCACAGTGGGAGAGCTGCTCGACATGCTTCGTCGAGCTGCACGGGACCGCTGTGGTGTTGCTGTCGACCAGGGAGCTCAACAGCTACAACTAACTGGTCTGGGCAACGGGTGGGCCGTCGACCAGGAGGGGCAGTTCATCGACCTGCAGCTCGACCGGGAGGTCAACGGAGTCCGTTGACCTGATAAGTGAGCAGCGGTCGACGAGGGGAGCTCGGCGACAACCGCTGATGGTTCTGGTTAACGGAAGGGGTCCGCCGACCAGGGGGTAGCTCGACGGGAGTTGTGGTCGACCAGAGGCACCTGGTGGTCGACTAGAGGGACCCGGTGGTCGACCAGAGGGACCCGGTGGTCGACGAGAGGCACCTGGGGGTCGACCAGAGCACCTGTTGGTCGACCAGGTCGACCGGGTAACCTGCACGACGAGTTCTGCGGAGGCATGCGAACGTTGTCGAGGTTGCGATGGCGCAGGCGACTTCGGGCTGGTATCCCGAAGTCGATGTGGCTTGTCAGGCGCAGACAACAGCTGACGGATGCCCAACAAGGCAAGTCGGGCCAATCGTATGCGCGCACCTGCGAGCGTACACACTACTGTCTTCTACGAGGCAACGCTGGACAGCCGCTCTGCTGCAGCGTTGGCACGCCGTCGACCTGCTCTGTTGGCAGGCTGCCTTTCTGCAGTGCTGGCACGGCTCCCCTACACAACGCTGGCAGGCGGTCGACCAAGCTGTGCTGGCAGTCGACCGGGCTAGCTGCAGGGTTGCTAGGTGCTTGATGTAGTCATTATTGTCATTGCTTATTCAACCATTCTGGAACTTTCAACTTTGCTAGTGGAAACTCTTGTCGATTTCTCCCGTGAATGTGCAAGCACTAAGGAACTATGCAAAGCTACGATCACTCCTAGTAGTTTGTGCCAACCCCCGTGGTCTAGCTCACTACCGTTGTAGAGTGACTCTCCGCAGAATGATCTCGCCAAGAGGTTCTTCTTCCTCATCTGGTTCAGCAGCGCGTGGGCAACGTCTTGTCGCCATCTTCGCGATCACGTTTCTGGGGGCTCCTGCCTGAGGTCCTTGTGTCTGCTAGAGTAGTGAAGTGTACCATGATTTGTGTATATCTAGATCAAGTTGAGGACTCGATCATGTCTTGGGGCGAGGAACATCTAGGCTTTTTTTCCAAACGAACCGAACCGCTCTGAAACTTACGATAACTTCAATCATCACAGCCTTTAGAAAATAGACCATTTTAAACCGTTGATGCAGTTAGGTTCGTTAGGGAAAAATCTCAGATGTTCCACGCCCTTACATTTACAATCATACTTCGTGGCTCAGGGCGGTTGTAGACGGTGGAAAACAATTTTCGAGGTTCTTCAGTTTGCACCGTTACGCAACGAATTTGACCGTAGAGGACGTACAGCAAACATACGACCCCCAAGGCCCTCGCATCCATCTTTGCTTTTCTTGTTCCCTGATCCCACACTTCAGGACGTTTCTGTTGATACACATGCGGGCTTCATTTTGGCAATGGCATTTCACATAGCTGGTTGGAGATATGTCACTGGCTCCCTCTTTATCTTGTTCGGCGTCTCTGTTACTTCCATTTTGGCTCAGAAGATTGGTGAGCTGAGCAAGCTTCGTTCTGTGGCTTGAAGTGGAGACGGCAACATTTATTTTTGCGAGTTTTTTTCAGATGGTGGAGTGAAAGGTCCAAGCGCACCTCGGCCTTGCCTTGGAGTTACAGTCAGCTATTCTATTCAGCAAGTAATATCTATTCCATCCGTCTGGAATGGAACTCTGCAACCTTACGGATTCAGAGCCACGTTGGTGCTTCAAAATTCTGGCCTAAGGTACCAACCGTCTTTTGTCATCGTGTTGACTGCTTTACTTGCCGAAGCTAATATGAATAAAACAGGGATGTGAAAGGGTGGGACGTTATCATTGAGTTTACCCACAACGAGCTAATCACAGCTATCAAGTACGCTCAAGTTGGACCTGAGCTTCCATACCCAGGTACGATCTGAGTGAGCCTTTCCGTCTTCTGCAGCACCTTTACATCGTCGCGTACATTCTTTGCAGGAAAGAACCTTATCATATCCGGCATTCCCGAGCTTAGCGATACTATTGTCACGGCGATTCATGCTGGGGGTGATTCTACTTTGTATTCTGTCAACGCTAGCATCTCTGGAACAGAGTATGGAGCGCCTTCTCCTCCAAAAGCTCTACCTCGAACTTTGTACCTTATCAATCCTGGTAAATATTATATCGAATGCTTCGTTATAATAGTTGGGCTATAGCTTTTAATACTCACAGCCTGTAAGTGCAGGCTACAAGTGCCAGAGGGATTTTCCACAATTTCCATCTGATCGGAGTCTTCAGGTCTGTTGTGAAGAAAGTGCAGTCATCAGTCCACCGCCTCCACCCCCTCCACCTCAAGGAATATTAGGCGCTGAGGACATTGAAGTTCGTTATGACGTTTCATGGGTCGACACCATGTACTACTGGGTTCTCGTTTCAGTTTACAACAAGCAGCAAGATCGCCGGGTTTCCTCCCCAGGGTGGGGCCTATCGTGGATGTGGCAACAAAACGAGGTGATGCCGTCTTTTTGCATTTGCCGTATATCCTTGATCGAATTATCATGGTTACTTAAAAGTACTCTCGTTTTCGCCCTTCTACAACACTTCGTCCAGATTGTTTGGGAGGTTAAGGGAGCTCAAGCAACAGATGCGGGAAACTGCATCGAGTCTGCATTAGCTGATGTTTATGGGCCTGATATTCAGACAGCGCACACGTGTAGAAAGAAGCCGACGTTTGTGGATTTGCCACTACAGTCATACTCTCAAGAAAGCTATCCGGAACCAGCAGTTTTCAACCTGCAACTCTCATGTTGCAAGAATGGTACTTTGGGTATGCCATCTTTCCCAAGTGGAGATCCTGCCTTTTTCACTGTGAAGGTATACTTCCAGCTTTTTCCTGCCTCAGTGGTGAGAGCTTCCCTACCTGACCACGTCTTGGAATTGCAGGGTAATTCAAGTGTGGCTCAATTCAGAATGCGTGTAGGGCGGGCTAAGGCGAAAAAAGGGTATGAGAATGTGGTCCCACCAAGAAATATGTCAGTTGGTCTACCAGGGTTTACATGCGGTGGGGCAGAAAAACTCCACCCTTCTGTGTTTCAGGTATTTAGAGAAGGGATTTCATTTTCTCTTTAAAGTGCAACTGTTCACGTTTCGTCACAGCTGGATGCAGGCCGAAACAAGACTGCAGTATCATCGTGGCGCTACGTCTGTAACAGAAATGCTAAGACTGAAAGGCCTGCTTGCTGTGTCTCGTTTTCTGCATCCTACAACACTACTAGGTTTGGAACGCCATATGTTGTACCATGTGCGAAATGCGCATGTGGGTGCAACATAACGAAAGGGTCGTTGAATCAAAGCGATCCCTACCCCACTATCTTGGGGGATGGAAAGTGCCTTCGAGGTAAGACTTGGTCATCCCTGTGTTACTTTTCCTGTTTTCTTTTACCAACTGAATATCCCTTCGTTTGTAGAACAAGTTGGGCGAGCAGGGGACTTGATGATTCTGAAGTCAATTACAAAAAGCACAGACACAGGGGCGATATCTTCCAAGTGCAGTGACAACTGTACATCACATGTTCACTGGCACATTGTGGACTTCTACCAGGAAGGCTTCGTTGCAAAGGTCTGTTTAGTTGATTATTGCTTCGCCCTTGTTTTATGTTTCCCTCAGATTCCACGATTTTAGCCCTGAGTCATAATGAAGTTGTGCCTGCTTTATGTTATTCTCTCCAGTTGACTATTGCTAACAGGGAGAATACAAGCATACCTGAATGGTTCGCTGTGGTGAGGATGCCAGCTCTTGACAACGTTTCAGCAGTGTATTCTTTTAACAACGCAACAATTTCCCGTGGGTGGCACTACTGTAGCATGACTTAATATTTTGCTTTCTTACGGTACCTTTCACTCACTAATTTCCCTTGGCTATTCATTGCAGGTGATACTGCTCTGTTTTGGGGGCATGAGTATAGCAACAATTGGTTATTGAGGACTGCTCCAAACGCAAAATTTCTGGGGAATGTTCAGTCTGTAATGAAGGTACAGTATGATGTTTGGATTGAAAGCTCGTGCCATGTTGTGTTATACTAGGAATTATTCGTGTGATTGTTTGGGCGTGCGAGATTAACGGTATTCTTTCTGTGCTTGCAGTTTGGCGCTGGCATGTTCTTCAATTACTCGTCTAAAGATGTCAGGAGTCTCTTTCCATCTGAGGTGGTCGTTAATGGCCAAGCATGTAGTGTACCAGACGTGGTGCCAACTTATCCTCCAGTCACGAAGAGCAAGCTTCTCATTTCATCCAAGTACCTTGCCCTTATTCTGGGGTTTGCTTTATGTGGGGTGCTTGCATATTCTGTGGCATTGTTTTAATACTTCGAAAACCTGTGATGATAATGTCATGTACAACACTGGTACAGTACCATAATTTACCATACTGATTTACATGTGTCACTGCATTCAGATGGCACCAGTGGTACAGAACGTGCATTATGCAGTAATGATAGGAATTTGCATTCACTAGGCCACAGTTTCCACAACTGTCTCCACATGTGCTGCTTCCCTAGCGATCTCGACATTCATGTCTTCCTTCAGTTTCTGCTCCTTCCTAACGCCCTTGCCACCAGTCTTGCCAAAACCTTTGCCTGCCTTTTTGGTTGCTTTACTCCAAGGTCCAAAACCCTTGACATTCGCAAGGGCTCCTTTGCCCAAGCCAACCTTTTCCAAATCCCTCTTCCTCCCATTTTTCTCCCTCCCGGCCTTCTCAACGACGTTCCCCATCATCTCTTCCTGCTTCTGCATTGTTTCTCCTCCGCTCCCACTTGCACTTGAAGCTGTAGCGTCTCCCACAACGACATCTGCTGAAGGATTTGCAGATACCTGTAGACCCTGTTGATTGAGTTCCGGCTTTCTGACTACCTTGCCTTCTGTCAGGGCTGTTGTTACTATAGCTTCTTGCTTTCCTTCATGCGAGGGAGTCTCTTGGGTGGTTGGTGTCGTAACTGCGTCCCCAGCATCTGTTTCAGTCTTCATTCCTTCACTTGCAACTTCATCCTTCTGTCCTCCCAGTCTTTCACGAACCTCCGCCTTTCCTGGTCCTCCGTACTTTTCTACTGCACCAACGTCCAACCTCTGTGCTTGCACTGTCTTCTCAGTGCGTTTCCTATCCTTCTGATCAATGCTGGTATCGAGCCGCTTCTTCTCTATTCCTGTCTCATCTTCTCTTTCAACCGAGAACTTCCCCACACTCACCACCATCTCAATCTCAGCTTGCTTGTTTCCCTCTTCTGCAACCACTTTCATGGGTTCCAATACCTCTCCCCTCCCCTTCTGTTCAACAGCCTCAACTTCTCCTCCAGCCTCCACCTCCCTCTTAACAACCACAGGTTTCCCTTCGCTCTTCTCACCCCGCACATCCTTCTCCTCATCCCTCTCGTCTTTCTTCTCAGAGGCCTTCCTCCTGTACTTTCCCTTCCCACTCACTCTCTGCTTCACACCACCTCCGTCTCCTCCTTCCCCTTTACCGCTCCCACCCTCCAAAACCACCTCTTTAGACGCTTCCGCCACAGCTGTACTCGTTACAGCAGCACTCGTTTTAGCACCGGCGCTCTCTAGAGGCGCCAGTCGTAACGCAGCAAATACCTGATCAGACGGAATGAGCCCAAGCCCCCTTAGGTCAGCCATAATCGAGCAGAGGGAGGGGAAATCTCCAGCTAGAGCCCTGTTCTTGATGACTGGAACAAACATGGCCACTGTTGGCTGAAAGTTGGGGATGCTCCGGAGAGACTGCACGTGCCTCAGGGGAAACGGGTGGAGAGGGAGAAGTGGAAATTGGAGGGCAGCAGAGGGGGAAAGTGAAACAGGGGGAGGGAAGGATGATATGATGTGATATGAGCTTGCAAAGAGCATGCATGCAAATTGGTAGCAATAGGAGGGAAGAGGGTAATGCCATGAGAGTGAGCACCAGCGATGCATGATGAATGTCTGGAGTGGAGGAATGCTATTGTGTTTCTGTCCAATGTGGCAAGGCAAGATGCAATTACATGCTACCAATGCTTGTATTTCTGCATCACTACAACGTGTATGTCGCACTTAATGATAGGCGAGAGAGAGAAACGAATGGAAAGAAATCCAGAGTGCAGAGTGAGGGGAGGAGAGATGGAAGAGGGAGAGAGGGAGCGGGGCAGAGAGGGAAAGGGGAAGAGGAAACAGAGTGAATATGAATGTGGAGGAGAGCGTGAGAGAACGAAGATCCGCACCTTCCACAGAGTCATAACAGCAGCAGGCCCACCACCACCAACCGCCACTCCTCCCACGGCCCCTTTTTCACTCTCCTCCCCTCCCACCAAACCTGCAGCTTCCAGCTCTGCAACCACCTGCTTCTCCCCCACCGTAAAACCCTTCTGAAGCATCAGGAGCAAGGACTCCTCCCGGGTCTGCTCAGTAGCTTCTGTGCTAGAGAGCACACCTCCCACCTCTGCAGCTGTCGCCTTTTCTGTCAACTCTGCAGGTTTTGCCATTTTCTCTGGTGCTGTTGCCTTTTCAGTCACCTTGACATCTGCTGCCTTTTCAGTCACCTTTACAGCTACTGCTTTTTCAGTCACCTTAACAGCTGCTGCCTTTTCAGTCACCTTTACAGCTGCTTTTTCAGTCACCTTTACAGCTGCTGCTTTTTCAGTCACCTTTACAGCTGCTGCCTTTTCAGACACCTTTACAGCTGCTGCCTTTTCAGTCACCTTTACAGCTGCTGCCGTTTCAGTCACCTTAACAGCTGCTGCCGTTTCAGCCACCTTAACAGCTGCTGCCGTTTCAGCCACCTTTACAGCTGCTGCCTTTCCAGTCACCTCCGCGGCTGTGGCATGCGATGCGGTCGCTGTTGCCTCCCCTGTACCTGTAATAACAGGCGCATCCAGTTCCTTCTCTACCTCCACCACTGCAGCTCCTGCAACAGCTACTGCACTCTCCTCTGCTGCAACTGTACTCTTCGCACCAGCAACAGTGCTCTCCTCTGCACCTGCTACTGCTGCGCTCTCGACTTGCGTCTCTGGAGCTGCAGCCTTTCCATTCTCTACAGTCTTAATACTCTCCTCTGCTACCTTTCCACCTGCAGCATTCTCAGCTGCCTCCACCACACTCACTGCTCCCTCTTTCCCTTCCCCCTTTTCCACTCCTCCCTCCCCTCCCTCCCCTCCCTCTTCTCTCTCCTTTCCCGTGCCCCTCTCCCCCTCTTCCGCCTGCACCAGTCGTGCGCGCAGCAGCAGCTGCCGGCACGCATTAGAGGGCTCCACGCCTCGCTTCACCGCCACTTGCAACACCGCCTCCGCTGCTGCTGCAGCTGCAGCAGAACCAGCAGCAGGGGGGTCAGCAGCACCAGCAGCAGCAGAGTCAGCAGAACCAGCAGCAGCAGCAGGCGCGGCATTGCTTCCATCCAAACCCACGCCCTCTCCCTTCCCCTCCGCCTCTCCCCCTTCCGCCACCCCCCCTTCCCCCTCCCCCCCTAAATACCCCGCCATGATCCCCTCAACCACCTCCACAGGCGGCTGGAAGGCTGGGTGCTCCGCCAGCAGATCACAGAGGGCGGAGTGCGCCCATGCGGGGTGGGAGGCGGAGAGATACGCGGAGATGAGCGCCAGGTGCAGGGAAGGGTCGGGAGTTAGCTGTAACTCTCGCATGTACTCAAGGACTCCCTCCGCTAGCCCGAACTCGCCCAAACGGGTGTAGCTGCGAGGAGGGGAGGGAAGAAGAGAGGGAAGGGTCGGGTGTGAGCTGTCTGTAGCTCTCGCATGTACTCACTTGTACAGGAGGGGAGGAGGGGAGGAGGGGAGGAGGGGAGGAGGGGAGGAGGGGAGGAGGGGAGGAGGGGAGGAGGGGAGGAGGGGAGGAGGGGAGGGAAGAGGAGAGGAGAGGAGGTCGGGCGTGAGCTGCAGCTCTCACTTGTACTCCGCTCGCCCTCTGCTAGCCCGAACTCGCCCAGTCGGGTGTAGCTGATGGGAGGGGAAGGCAGGAGAGGGGGAAATGGGGGAAGGGAGAGAGGGAGGAAAAGGGGGATGCGGGGAGAGGGGTCAGGTCAGATAGAAGCTGCAGTTCTCCCATCTTATGTGTTCAGACTCGCTCTGCTCTGCCATTCTGTTTTTGAGGTGCCTAAAAATCCGGGACGATCGATCGGGGTAGGAGGACAAAAGCTGCAGGCGGCGGGCAGCAGCTCTCCTCCCATCCCAGTAGAGCTGCTGTTCAACACAGTACAGTTCAATCCCTTTGAGGCTGCAAGCAGCACGCCGCCTTATGAGGCGCCGCAAAAGTTGCTCAAGCACGCCTTCTGCTCTGCAAGCGGCAAGCCGGCAAGCCACGTCGAATCTGTGCTCCTCATACTCACCCATTTCCCCCCTCCCCTTTTCTCCAACCCACCCATCCAGCAGCACAAGGAAGCAGCCAGCGGAGGGGCGCACGCCCCCCTGCAGCGTGTCCTGCACTGCACTGCACCACCACACCACGCGCTCCGCCGCCTTGCGCATCTCATGCTCCCTGTACCGCCTTCCACGCTCACCCACCGCTCTCCCTTTCAAACGTTCCCACGCTCGCATGTTCCCTCAGTGATCCCGTTTTCCCCGCACAGTCCCCGCCCTAACCCCCCAAACCCTCGCCCCTCCACGGTCCACCCACCCGTCCAGCAGCGCGAGGAAGCATCCAGTGGACGGCCGCACGCCTCCCTGAAGCATGTCCTGCACCACTCCCTCCGGCCCCTCTTTCCCACCCCAGGTTCCCAGTCTCCCCAATTTTCCACCAACAACCCACCCGTCCAGCAGCGCGAGGAAGCAGCCGGTGGACGGCCGCACCCCTCCCTGCAGCATGTCCTGCACCACTCCCTCCGCCTCGTGCATCTGCCCGTTGCTCGCTGCAATGACTGACTCCCACGCTCACCCAGCGCACCTTACCTCCCCAACCCCTTTCCTTACCTCCCCACCCCACCCCTCTTCCTCCTCCCCGATTCCCCCAATTCACCCCACTTCACTCGCTCTCTCTCTCCCCCACTCCCTCTCCCCGCCAACAACCCACCCGTCCAGCAGCGCGAGGAAGCATCCAGTGGAGGGCCGCACCCCTCCCTGAAGCATGTCCTGCACCACTCCCTCCGCCTCGCGCATCTGCCCGTTGCTCGCGTACGCCCTCAGCAGCCCCACGTACACGCGCCTGTCCTCCACGCGCCCCTGCTGCTGCTGCAGCGCCTGCGGGGGAAGGGGGGATGGAGTGATGACGACAAGAGAAGACAAAGAGGCCCATTTTTCTGCGGGCGGATCTCCATTCCTCTCTCCATTCCTCTCTCCATTCCCCAAACCCCCTATTCCTTACACGTCGTCTTCCCTCCCTCCCCCGCTAATATCCCAACCCTCCGTCCGCTACCCTTTCCCACCATGTCTCTCTCCCCCAGCCCCCTGCATCCCCCCCATTCCCCCTCATCTCCCCAGTCCCCTCCATTCTCTGCATTCCCCGCCTCCCCCCTCCACTCCCCCCTCACCTGGAACGCTCCCTCCTCTCCCCTTCCCCCAAGGCGCCCCCCTCTCACCTGGAACACCCCCTCCGCGCGCTGCGCGGCATGGCCAGGGCGCCATACGCGTTAATGCACGGCACCGCCAGGGATGCGAGCACCTCTCACAATCCCCAACCCCTCTTACCTTCCACGTCCTCTCCTCTCCTCCCTTCCTTATCCCAACCAGACAGCCTCCCGTTCCCCACCCTTCCCAACCTAACATTGCTCTCCTCAATCCCCCACTACGTTCCCCCCATCCCCCCCATTCTCCACAATCCCCCCCATTCTCTGCATTCCCCCCCGCTCCCTCCCACATGCTCCCCTCGTCCCCTCACCTGGAAAACGCCCTCCGCGTGCTGCGGCATGCCCAGGGCGCCGTACGCGTTAATGCACGCCACCGCCAGGGATGCGGGCAGCTTCACGCCCTCCTGGCACAGAGAGCGGTGCAGAGCGGTGATGACTGCGTGCTCGCCCCCCCGCGCCAGCACTGGCACTGCGCGCTCCAGCAGCTTCGCGTCCACGGGGATGCGCAGGGCCTGGGGGGAGGGGGAGGGGGGGGAAAGGGGGAATGGGGAAGGGGGAGCGGGTGGGTTTTGGGTTGTAAGAAGGATGGGTTGCTTGTTGACATGCGCGCCCCAGCAGCTTGGCGTCCACGGGGATGCGCAGGGCCTGGGGGGGAGGGTGGGTGGGGGGGAAGGGGGAATGGGTAAGAGGGAGGAGGGGAAAGGGGGGAGGCGCGCAGAAGCGGGGAACAGAACAGGTGTGGCGGAAGAGGGCGGAAGTGGGAGGCGAGAAAACGCGGAGGAAAGGGGATACAGAGTGGGTGAAATATGGGGGGGGTGATGTGAGGTGGGAAAACCGAGGACGTGAATGGTGGTGGGTTTGTGATTCACATCATCACTAGACTCGGTTTCTTCTAGCGACACCATCATCACTCATGCATGGAGATGGTTCAGCCGAGACTCGAGATGGTTCAGCTCCACTCCACCATTTCGTCCCCGCCGCACAATCCCCCCCCCCCGACACGCACAACCCCGCCCTCTCCCCTCCCCTCCCTCCCCCCCGCGCCCTTCCTTCCGGGTAGCTCTCTCGCTCTCTCGCTCTCTCGCTCTCTCGCTCTCTCGCTCTCTCGCTCACTCGCTCACTCGCTCACTCGCTCACTCGCTCACTCGCTCTCTCGCTCTCTCGCTCACTCGCTCTCTCGCTCTCTCGCTCTCTCGCTCACTCGCTCTCTCGCTCTCTCGCTCTCTCGCTCACTCGTTCTCTCTCTCGTTCGCTCGCTCGCCCGCGCACCAGCATGCCGTCCAGCACGGCGCGCAGCGGGATGGGCTGCTTGGCGGCGGCGAGCATCATCTCCGTTTCGTTTCCACGCACATCACGAGCGTTCCGCTCGAGCACACCCAATCCCCCCCCTCCCCCCCGTCTCTCCCCCATTCCTCCCCGCTCGCCCGCTCACCAGCATGTCGTCCAGCACGGCGCGCAGCGGGATGGGCTGTTTCGCGGCGGCGAGCATCATCGCCATCTCGACGCACGTCACGCGGTCCGGCTCCACCATCTCGTCCTCGCGGACGCGCTCGTACACGCCAATCGCCGCGCGCCACCGCCCCGCGCGCGCGTACCCGCCGATGAGCGCGTTGTACGTGAACAGGTCCGGGGACACTCCGCGCGCCTCCATTCCGCGCGCCACCGCCTCCATCTGCTCCACGTTGCCTGGGGGCGGAACGCGCGTGTCGGCGCGTGTGGGCGGGGGCGTGTGAGAGCGTGTCAAATTCATCGGGTTACAGACGTAACAGAGGTTGGTGGCGGGCGGCGTGTGTCGGAGCGATAACAGTAGTTCGTCTCGCGGTTCAGAGAGGTAACATAACCTGGATGTCGTTTCGTTTCACTCACACATTCGGGAGCTCGCGTTACCATCACATCAATAGCTTCAACTTCATCATGGCCGCTATCCGACGAGAAAAGAAAACAAGTACAAGAATTCGCCGGAGCGCCATCCTTTCGTGCCCGCGAATGCTCACCTGCTTTCCCGTACGCAGCCAGGACCGTCGTGCACGCGCGAACACCCGCCTCGAGCTCCTTGCTCGTGCCCTCCACGTGCTGCAGCCACGCGAACACCGCGCCCAGCAGGTCGTGCTCGCCGCGCTGCGCGCCGAGCTCTTTCAGTACGAGGATGACGTCAGACTGCACCCACTCGCGCTCTGATTGGTCCAGAATTGGCCACACCACGGACTCGAGCGTCTCAGGAGGAGTGCTGGCCGCATCCGTTGCGCCGTCAGCGGCGGGAGAACCGGCGGGAGAAGCGGCGGCGGAAGCGGCAGCATCAGTAGCGTCAGCGACAGCGACGGCGGCGACGGCGGCCGCAGCAGCAACGGGCTCGTCGACGGCCGCGGCTTGGGTGCCCTGGTCTGCGACTCCCTCTTTGCTCTTGCGCGAGATCTTCGCCTGCTTCTTCTTCGCCTGCGACGCTCTGCGACGTCGCTCCTCCATCCATTGCTGCTTCGCCTCTCGCAGCGCCGCCAGACACGACGACACCCGCGTCAGCGTCGCCAGAGGTGAGTCGTTACCGTTACCGTTACTGTAACCGCCGCCGCGGCCTCTTGCGAAGCTCCCGGAGTTTGCGCCGCTTTCGCCGCCGCGTCGTCCACGCGAGTTGAACCTACTGGGCGCTCCGCCTACTCCGCCGCCACCGCCACCGCTGTCGCCGTCGTTTCGAGACTGCCCCGCGCTCCGTCTATATTGCTCGGCGCTCGGTTCGCCTCCTCGGGTCTGCTGGTTTTGGCGACTCCGCGGCTGCTGCTGCTGCTGCTCGGGGAGAGTGGCAGCGGAAGCGGCGTCGGCGGCGGCACTTGCGCGGGTCGATAGGAGCACCTGCGGAACGGGGAGTCCCCCACCCGCGCATGGGAGTAACGCCGTCGAAGGGTGTCGAGAAGAGAAGTTGGACAAAGCGGCGCGACTTGAGAGGTCGTCGCGGCTCGAACCTTCATTGCGAGGACGAGAAAGGTTCTTGCGAAAAGCGCACAACGCCGAAACGCGGTCAGGGCGGGAGGTCCACGGCTGGCCGAGGAAAGCGACGGATGCGGTGACGTCAGAGGAAGAGCAATGGAGGGATGATGAGGAATGAAGGGAAGGGGACGGCGACGCGGCAGAAGTAATGCAAGTTTGATCCCTCTCTGCGCGCTCTGCACCCACTGACGCCGTTAATTATCATCCCCGCTGCTTTTCTTCCCCCGCTGATTTCCTTCCACCCTTCCATGCCCTTCGCCCTCCTCCGTTTCATCTTTTGAGTCGACTCGATAATCACCCCCCATTCCTCATGCCCTTCGCTTTCCTCCGTTTCCTCCATCTTGCCGCCGCGTCGTCGTGCTTCCCCTCTCCCGTCCGCCATTTCCCCGCGCGTGCGCGGCGCACCAGTCGCTGTTCCTGCAGCTGAGGGGCGCGGAGCGGAAGAGGGGCCACGTGGAGGAGACGGTCCTGCTGCTGCAGCAGCAGATGGCGCAGCAGCGACTCTTGCTGGTGAGGCCCGTGGGGCCTGGAGAGGAGAGTAGCGAGTGGGGAGCGAGGCGAGTGGGGGACTAGCGGCTCGTATGTATCTTGATTGGGATATTTTCCAGGTGTATACAAACAATGTATTTTTAAGACGTCTCAAAAATGCATTGTATACTCGTATGTATCTTGAGTAGGATATTTTCCAGTTTTTGCGAGTCATGAATATGTGCTTGATTGATCATTGGTGATCCAGCGGGTTTTCCGCAGTGGATACGCGTTGTGTTATTATCCATGCCTGCCTGCCTGCCTGCTGTCTGTCTGTCCGTCTGTCCGTCCCTCTCTCTCTCTCTCTCTGTCGGTTTGTCTGCCCACAGGAGCAAGAGCAGCAAGCTAAAGAGAGACTTCTCCTGCAGCAGCAGCAACTGCAGGAGCAGCAGGAACAGCAGCAGCAGAAGGGGCGGCGGCATCACCACCACCACCACCACAGGCACCGGAGGCACAGGCACGACGACGACGAGACAGAAGAATCTTCGAACGGCAGTGGCGATTCAGAGGACGACGATGATGATGATGAGGAAGACTCTGAAGAGGAGGAGGATGAGGATGATGATGAGGAGGAGGAAGGAGGGCGCATGTCACGGAGTGAGCTGAGTGCGGTGGTGAGATCTCTGAAAGAACAGGTGGCCGGGATGGACGCTCTGGCGGGGGAGGTGCGTGCGCTGAGAGAGAAAGCGGAGAGAGCGGAGAAGGCGGAGGCGGAAGGGCACGGGGCGGGGAAGACCAAGGAGCAGGAGCTGCAGAGGCAGAGACAGGAGCAGGAGCAGCGGGAGCAGTGGGAGCAGGAGCGGAAGCGGCAGGAGGAGGAGATGCGGGTGTTGAGGGAGGTGGTGGGGGAGTTGCAGAGGGACGTGCAGGGGGTGCGGGAGCAGGGCGAGCAGCGCAACTCCTCGCTCATGCTGCTGCTCGAGGCGGAGGAGGTGGGTCTGGCTGTGTGCCGCCTCACTCTTTCTGTGTGCCTTAAATTTACCCTTTCCCCTCGCTCTTTGGTGCCCCTCGCTCTTTGGTGCCCCTTGCTTTTTCGCACGCCCGCCTTCCTCTTGTTCCTCCCTTCTTTGACCCTGTCATGTTCTTCTTGCACCCTATCCGCCTTGCCTATTACTTTGCCTCCCATCCCCCCCCATTCTCCCCCTCCCCCTCCCTGCCCTTCTCCTCACTCCCCCCACCTTGTCTCGCTCCCTCACAATGGTCCACCGTAGCTGTTTTTCTCCTCTCTCCTCCCCCGCATCTTCCGCTCCTCCCCTTCCCCTCTCCCCCTCGTCCAACTATCCTTTCCTCTCCCGTGTGCAGAAGTATTCCAAGGCAGCAGCCAATGCGGCATCAGCAGCAGCATCTTTGGACGAGGCCCGCTCGCACATCCTCCTACCTTCTCCTACCTCCTCTCTCCCGTTCCCTCCCCTCCCATCCACCCCCACACCTGCAGAAGTATTCCAAGGCGGCAGCCAAGGCGGCGTCAGCAGCGGCGTCGCTGGACGAGGCGCGCTCGCACATCGCAGACCTGGAGGACCGGGTAACGCTGCTGCAGCAGCAGGAGCAGCAGCACGGCCAGCAGCAGCAGTACATGCAGCACCACGATCATTCAGGCGGCACACACGGGCTGGCAGAAGCTGTTAAGGTGTGTTCCTGTGCTGTGAGCCTGTGCCTGCGGTTGCAGGCGGTTCTGGAGATTATTGAAGTGGTGAAGAGAATGGGGGAGAAGGGGTAGGGTGGGGATGGATGGTGGGGGAGGGAAAGTGCTCGTCTGTCTTCCTTCATTCTTTCCTTCCCTGCCTCCTTCACCCCCTTCTTCCGGTTACCACCACCAACAGGCGCTGCAGGCGCAGGTGGAGATGCTGGCCTGGAGGTGGTGCAGGGCGAGGCGGAGCAGCCACGTGTAGAGAGGGTATTTTTGAGACGTCTCAAAAAGATGCTGGCCTGGAGGTGGTGCAGGGCGAGGCGGAGCAGCCACGTGTAGAGAGGGTATTTTTGAGACGTCTCAAAAAGATGCTGGCCTGGAGGTGGTGCAGGGCGAGGCGGAGCAGCCGCAGCAAAAGTAGGCTTGCAAGTTTTTCACCTCATCCTTTCCTTCCTGCCTTCCCCCCTGTGGCTCCTTTCTTTCCCTGGGGGACTACCTACCAACAGGCCCTACAGGCGCAGGTGGAGATGCTGGAGGTGGTGCAAGGAAAAGCGGAGCAGAGGCAGCAATAGTAGGCTTGCAAGTCCGTCACCTCATCCTTTCCTCCCTGCCTTCCCCCCTGTGGCTCCTTTCTTTCCCTGGGGGACTACCTATCAACAGGCCCTGCAGGCGCAGGTGGAGATGCTGGAGGTGGTGCAAGGAAAAGCGGAGCAGAGGCAGCAGCAGCGCATGCAGCAGGTGCAGGGGGACCAGCAGCAGCGCTGGCAGCAGCAGCTGCAGCAGCAGGGCGAGGTGCTGCGCGCGTTTGTGGAGAGGCGCTGCAACGAGGCCGTGGTGGCTGCAGGCGACACTGCAGCGGTACGTGTGGTATAGATTGGAGGGAAGGGAGGGCGTTTTTTCCAAAGGGGCCTCATTAGTCGAGGTAGGTGGCAGTGCAGAGGTACGTTTATGATAGGTGCTAATTGCCAATCTTTGAGTCGAGACGGAAAGCTACTGCGCACGTTTGTGGAGAGGCCGTGCAACGAATTAGTGATAGCTTCGGCTCAACCCCTCACTCACTGTTCCTCTCTTCCCCTTGCCTGACGTCGCCCCCCTCCCCTCCCCTCCCATTCACTCCCCTCCACTCCTCCTCGTCCCTCTGCCCCTTTGTTTTCCTCTCTGAGCAGAGGCACTCGGGCACGGCACCACTGGTGGCAGCGCAACAGGAGATGCAGACAGCACTGGAGCTGCTTGCAACAACCAACCAGCATGGCTTATTCCCTCTCACCCTTTGGTCTTCCTTTTCCTCTTCCTCCCTAATTCCCCCCCCCCCCCCCCCCCCCCCCCCCCTTCATCCCCACCACCCCGCCCTGAACAGAGGCACTCGGGCACGGCACAGCTGGTGGAAGCACAGCTGGAGATGCAGACAGACAGCACTAGAGCACCCTCTCCCTCCCTCAACCCTTTCGTCCCTTTTGCGTCGTCCCTCTCGTCCCTTTCCCCCTCGTTCCCTCTTCAGAGGCACTCGGGCACGGCACCGCTGGTAGAAGCACAGCAGGAGATGCAGGCAGCACTGCAGCTGCTCTCAGGGCGCATGGAGGGGGTAGAAGAGGAGAGGGCGCGGGAGAGGGAGAGGGATGGCGAGAGGGAACAGGAGAGGGAGCGGGAGAAGGAGAAGGTGAGGGAGAATGAGCGGCGGAAGGAGGAGGAGAGGCATCAGCAGCTGGCAATCCTGGCTGCAGACCTCAAGGTATGGCTTTTGAGACGTCTCAAAGTTCGGCTGGCAACTCTGGCTGCAGACCTCAAGGTACGGCTGGCCGGCTGGCTGTTCCGAATCGTGGTTCGTTTATGGATAGATGGATCGTGGTTCTCGGCTTAAGAATCAAGAATAGATGGATGGATGGATGGATGGATGGATGGATGGATGGATGGATGGATGGATGGATGGATGGATGGATGGATGGATGGATGGATGGAACTGCAGCAGCACGAGCAGCAGCACGAGCAGCAGCACGAGCAGCAGCAGCAGCAGTAGCAGCAGCAGCACATTTTCCTTACCTACCCGTCTTCTCTCCCCGTCTCTCCGTTTCCCCGCCATTCCTGCCTGCCCACCATCAGAGCCTGCAGGTGCAGATGGATTGCTTGGAACTGCAGCAGCACGAGCAGCAGCAGCAGCAGCACGTGGAACACTCGTTGCAGCAACACCTGCAGCAGCTGCAGCAGCAGCAGCAGGCGGCGCAGCAGCAGCTGGAGCAGCAGCAGGAGCAACTGGAGCAGCAGCGGGCGCAGTGGGAGCGGCAGCAGCAGCAGCAGATGGAAGATATGAGGGGGTTGTTGGAGGCAAGGCATGAGGACGCTTTAGCTGCAGTTGCGGCTGCTGTTGAGGTGAGAAGCTTGTTCAAGGCACTTGTGTTGAAGTGACTCAAATGTCTCAAATAGAGACAAAGGAATTGCTGGCGCAGGCTGAGGCGGAAGCAGCGGGGTTCTGAGGGAGAAGAATAGTTTCCTAATTCCATCTTTCCCCTCCCCTCCCCCGCTTCCCCACTCCCTCTCCCTCTTCCTTTCCCCATTCCTTCCCCCTTCCCCTTCCCCTTCCCCTATCCCCTTCCCCAGCCGGTGCAGGAGCAGCTGAAGAGCTGCCTCGCATCCCAGCAGCACGTGGCTTTGCTCGCAGCAACTGCAGCAGCGTCTGCAGAGAAGGCAATGGCAGTGGAGCGAGCAGCAGCGTCCGTGGCGGTAGAATCTGCAGTGGAGACGGCACACCTGGCGCAGGCAGAGGCGGAGGCTGCTGCTGGTGCCGTGGGGGACCTGAGGGAGAGGATGCGGGAGGTGGAGCGGTGGAGAGGGGAGATGGAGGGGTGGAGTGGGGCGTTGGAGGGGTGGAGAGTGGAAGTGGAGGGGTGGAGAGCTGGGGTGGAGGGGAGAAGCGTTGAGCAAGAGAGAAAGGAGAGGGGTGATGAGGAGTGGAAGGAGGCAGTGGAGGGGTGGAGGAGGGATATGCGGGAGAGGGTGGAGGGGGTGGACGGGAGGGTGCAAGAGGTGAGAGGGAGGGTGCAAGCACTGGAAGGGAAAGTAGAGGGCGTGGAAAGGAGCTTCGAAGGAGTGAAAGGGAGAGTACAAGCGGTGGAAGGGAGTCTGGAAGGGTTTGAAGGGAGGATAAAGGAGGAATGCGTTGCAGCAGTGGCAGCTGCAATGGGAGGAGGAACTGGGAGGGGTTTAGCAGGGGAAGAAGAAGGGGAGAAAGGGGAGAAGGCGAGGTTGCTGGAGCAGAGGGTTCTAGAGCAAGTGGAGGAGATTCGACGAGAGGTAGGGGATCTGGAAGGCGGTCTGGTTAAGGTGCAGGTGAAGCTGGGACAGGTGGTTGAGAGGACTCCGGAGGTGGGGAGACTGGAGGGAGCAATAGAGCAGCTGGAGCAGGAGGTGAAGGACATGCGGGAGAGGATGATGGGTGGGGGGATGGGCGAGGGAGGAGGGGCGGGAACAGGAGGAGCAGGAGCAGGGGCAGGAACAGGGGCAGGGGCTGGGGCAGGGGCAGGAACAGGGGCAGAGGCTGGGGCTGGGGCAGGGGAGGAGATGGTAAAGAGGCTACGGCAGGTGGAGGTGGAGTTGAGTGCAGCGAGGGAGGCGGTGCAGGAGGTGTCAGTGCGAGTAACAGAGCTGGAAGCGAGCTCCATCACAGAAGAAGCATCTGCTGCTGTGCAAGGCGCTGCTGTGGCGTCGATTGAAGCCCAGGTGGCCTCGCTGGAAGAAGAGATGGGGCTGGTGCGAGAACAGCTGGGGGTGATGCAGGAGGGGATGGGGTCGGTGCGGGAGCGGGTTGAGGGGATGGAGGAGCAGGTGCTGGGGTTGGAAGGGCGGCTGGTGATGGTTGAATCAGGGATGGGAGAGGGTGCAATGGGGGGGGATGATGTTGAGAGGGAGAGTGAGGGGACGAGAGAGGTTAAGGAGGAGTTAGTCTGGGTAAGGAAGGAGCTGGCAAGGCTTGACACGGGAGTGAGGGGACTGGAGCAGTCGTTGAAACAGGCTGAGGAGGTTCGGCAGGAGTCGCAGGTTCGGGAGGCGCAGGCTCGGGAAGCACTGGTTGTGGAGCTCCAGGAAGACCTGCAGCTGGCCAGGCAGAAAGGCCTGGAAGAGGCTCGGCAGGTGGCCCGGGAGGAGGTTCAGAAGGTGGGGACAGGAAGCAGAAGCGAAGGGCTTTCATGCGCAAATGAAGCTCCTGCGAATGCTGATGGTAATACTGAAGGAGGGGAGGAACAAGGCAGTGGTGGTGCTTCTGCCTCTGCATCTGCTTCTTCTTCAGCTGCAACGGTTGGATTGTGGGAGGTAGTATCGAGCGTACAGGTGGAGGTGAAAGAGCTAAGAACGCGGGGCTTTGCATTAAGGGATAGTGTGGAGGAGGTGAAGAAAGACATGCGAAGAGAAGGTAGGACGTTCAAGGATGCTCTGGCCCACCTTGAGACGGACCTCAAGGCGGCTCGGCGCAGCGCGGAAGAGGCTCGAGACGAGGCTATCCGGCAGGCTCGGGAGAGCGCGGATCGGGCAGCTGAGAGGGCGGAAAGTGCAGTGGCGGGTGCTGTGGGGGAGATGAATGGCTTGGTGAAGAGATGGGGAGAGGTGGTGGGAGAACAGAGGAAGAGAGTGGATGAGGTGGCAGGGAAGATGCAGCAGCAGGTGCAGGGAGTGTCTGAAAAGGTGGTGGGGTTGGAAAGAGCGGTGGAGAGGAGTGGAGAGGAGTTGGCAGGGTTGCGGCAAGAGAGTGTAAAGGAGGCGGAGAGAGTAGAGAGGCTTGAGAAGATGGTTGAGGAGGGGTTGGAGAAGGTGGAGAAGGATGTAGGTGCGGCTGCTGCTGCTGCTGCTGAGGCTGGGACGAAAGCTGCTGCAGGTGAAGCAGCAGCGGCTGCTGCTGTGGAAGCAGCAAGAGCAGATGCGGCCGCACGGATCGACCTTTTAGAGGCCGAGATTGGTACGAAGATCAACGGTGTGGAGAGAGAGGTTGATGCCGTGCGTGAGAAGATCAACGGTGTGGATGAGAAGGTGGAGAGCTTGGGAGAGGAGATGGTGCAGGTGCAACTGAAAGTGGATGGGACGGAAGAGGGGGTGCATGCTCTAGAGCTTCAAGCGGGGAGTCTGGCCGATCACGTGAAGGCAGTCGAGGAAGAGGTGAATCTAGAGAAGCGGAGAGGGGAGGAGAAAGCAGCGGAAGACGCGTTGAGACGGTGGACAGAGGAGGAGAGCGCGAGAGAAACCGCGGCAGATGTGGAGAGTATCAAAGCCCGGGTGGAGGAGATGGAGAGGTTGCAGCAGAGCCTGGTGCAGGCTCACGAGAAGGCGGTGCAGGAACTGGTATCAGAGCAGGCGCGGCTGGTGAAGGGGCAGGAGGAGCTATCGCAGGAGGTGCAGCGGCAGGAGGAGGAGCGCCTAGCTGCTTCCCAAACGATGCTGGCGCGGTTGCAGGCAGATGTGCGGGCGCTAGTGGGGAAGCTGGAAGGGGTGGTGCGGGAGGAGCAGAGGAAGATGCGGGGGGAGGTGGCGGCGGGTGTGGGGAAGATGGAGGGGGAGATGAAGCGCATGGAGGGCAAGGTGCAAGGCGTGGAAGAGCAGTTGGGGACGGCACTTGAGGTAGGGAGGTGGTGGGGAGGAGAGGGGGAGCGAGATTGGGAGGAAAGGAGGGAGGGAGGGAGGAGCAAGAGGAGGGAGATGGGAGGGGTTGGTGAAATACGGGATTTGTCTTTTTTCTTATACTCTCCAACCACTTACTCTGTTGGCATCCATTAGGAGGTCAGCACTTCACCTCTTATGCCCCTCTTTTCTTCCCCCCTCATTTCCCTCACTCCTTGTCATTCCCTCCCATTCCCGCCAATTCTCCCTCATGTACCCCCGTCCCCTCTGGCAGCAATGCCAGCGGCTGCAGGGCACGAGCAGGGATCACAAGGAGGACCTGGCGCGTATAGAGGGCGACCTGCACACACTCTCCCTCTCGCACTCACAGCTGCTCGCCAATCTCCAGGCCAAGCAGTCCAAGCAAGGTGGGTAGTGTGGTGGTGAAGGTGCTGCTGATGGTGATGGTGATGGTGATACTAACGGTGGTTAATAGATGGTGGTAAGGGCGCGTCAGATCCGTTACAAGGTGATTTGGCCGGAATTTGGTCGACAATATCTTTCGCCAAAGTCGACAACATGGTCGACTTCAATAACGACCAATATCCGGCCACATTTACAGGGCCGAAAAATCTGACACATTTGGTGGCCGATTTGATGGCCGCTTTGCAAATGTGTCAGATTTGCAGTTCGCCAGGGTCGCCGGATTGTGCGACGGAATCGCAGATGCAGTACTTGTGTGACACGTTGCGTCGCACGAGTTGGCGACGTCGCGTAGTGACTGTAGGGATCTCAGGTCGACAAATTGGTCGACTTTCGAGTCGACTGCACGTCAGAACTTTGTCGAATGCTGAACCGGCCATCAAATTTTTTACAAATGGCCGGATTTGACGAACTCTCCGAAAATCTTTGCGGATGTCGCGAATGTGTTACCTTCGCTAATTCCGGCCGGCCGGATTTTTCCGACAACGGATCTGACGCACCCTAATGGTAAGATGTTCTCCTGAGCTCGGTTGGATCAGGCTGGTGCACGTGGGAGCCTGCGTTAGCTAGTACCCACGGTGCTCAACTGAACGCATGGTGGTGGTGATAGGTGTGACACGCATTGTCCGTCGCCCCAAACTCAAGGTGGTGGGAAGGGTCGTACTCATAACCACTGCCTCAAATCCCAAACCCCCCCTCGTAAACAGTGTCCGCTCTTTTCTCCCACCTCTCCCTCCCCACTTCCCCCACCGCCCCTACCTCAACCCCATCTCCCCCATGGGCCATGTCTACCCCTCTCAGGCCTTGGGTTCATGAGGTGGCACCAGCCGCGCCCATCCAAGTCAGAGGAGGACCCCTCTCCCTCAGAGAGCCCCACCAACCCTCTGGCCCGCAGAGCCTCGCTGCGCCCCCCGTCCGCCTCCCCGTCCCCGGAGCTCCGTGGGTTGTCCATGTCATCAGATGGGAGTGGCACCACTGGCGGCGCGATTGTACTCGGCCTCAAGTCTCCGTCTGGGGACTGATTAGGTGGATGGATGTTCCAACCAGCTTCCATGCCATATGACCTGATTAGGGGGAAGGCCTCAGTCCACGGAGCCCCGTGTGCTGCAGTTGTGCTCGGCTGTCGTAGCCGGTAGGAGTGTTTCAGGTGGGGCAGTTGTCTTCGGTGTGGTGGGTGGGTGGGAGTTTTTGTTCCAGCCCGCTTAGAGTTTCAAAAGCACATGCCTGTGGTTGAGGGAAAGGCGAAATCAGCAGTATCGGCCATAGTGCGTACGGTAGTATTGGTCTTAGCACTTCTGCAAAGCTATTGCAGCACACCCTATAAATATCGTAGTAGTATTGTTAAGAATTGCGATGAGTGGTCTTCGTTAGAGTTGGATTATGTGAAACAAAGTAAAGGTTATTGATGCATTTTGAGGCAACTGGTATTCTCTGTACTGTATTAGTTTTACACTCAAGAGATACCCCAAGGTCCATCAATTTCCTGTTTTGGCAAATCCTATGCCATTCTATCGGCTAATGTTATAGTTGTTCACGTAGGTGTACAGAGGGATGAATTATGGTGGAGACCTCAACAGGGTGAGGAAAAATACAACGTACAGTATAAGCAAAATGTAAGGTTCTGCAATGGGGTGTAACAGACTATCCCTCTACACTTGACACATCACGTCAGCCTTACGCCACCCGCATCAACGCCGATTTATCTTGCATGAATCGGACGACTCTGGTGCTGCTTCCATTCAGAAATTAAATCTCAACGCTTGATCTGGCCGCAAAAAACGATTTTTGGCGGGATTCGTTCATTCCTTGGTTCTCCTCTCTGCAGCAAGGTTTGCTCTCAACGTCTCCTCTCAACACCCCTGATCCACTTCAGAATCTGTTAGGACGCGGTAAAAGTGGAGAATCGATCGCCTCAGGATCGTTCTTTAGCCCGTTTGTAAACGGTTGTGTACCATTCGTATGCAAAACGCGGGGTTTCAGTGCGGTGACCGGATCGATCTCCCCCCAATCGAGCACTTTTACCGCGTCCTTAGTAGAATTTACATGAAGGGTGACCATTTGAAGACGTTTTGATCTGCTTCGTTTGAAGGGGTGCGGTTCTGTTAGTCTTTTACGTTTTTTTCTTTCAGCAATGGCGGATCCTGGTTCGCGTGGTAGGCATCAGCTCGGTCAACAGCAGCCGCAGTGGCAACATAGTCAGCGGCCGCCGGCGCCGGCGCCGGCGCCTGCGCCTGCGCCGCGGCAGCAGCAGCTGCAGCAGCAGTACCAACCTGCATATGCGTATCCTCCTCAGTATTATCAGCAGCAACCGCCGCAGGTGCAGCAAACGCAGCTCTCACAATCTGGTGGGGGACTGTATCACTCACAGAGGGACAACCTTGCAAACACGCCGGCGAGCTTGCATACAGGCATGCGGGCGATTTTCCATGCGAACCATGCGAACACGCCTGCGAACACGCTTGTGAACACGCTTGTGAATGCGCACCAGACCGTACCGCCAAATCCGCATAGTAACGGTCTCCCAGGCAGCCTGCCATTTTCAGAGGTGGTGTTTTCTAGCCAAGCTCACGGGCTGAGGGACGTGCAGATTCCTTTCTCGCGATTGCAAGGGCCAGGGCAGCAGAATGGGCAGTTTGGGAGTGGCATCATGGGTTATGCAACTACTAGTGCCCCTGCTGCTGGTCCTGCTGTTGCTGGTGTTTCCACCGCTGCTGCTAATGCTACTTCTACTGCTGCTGCTGCTGCTGCTGCTGCTGCTGCTGTGTTTGTTCCATCTGCCCAACCAGCCTCTACCTTTGCTGCTACCAGGCCTGCCAATACTGGCGTTGTAGCTGGAGTATCTGCCACTGAGAATCGCGGTGGTTCCAACTCTGGCAACCAAATCAGCGGCCAGAATCCACCAGCAGCTTCTGGCAACGGCCAGGATCGTGCTGATGGTACGGACAGTCCAGCAGGACAAGGGAGAGGCGGAAGAGGCAGGGGGGGGAGGAAAAGCACAGGGGGAGACAGTAGGGGCAGGGGTAGCCGAAGGAGCAGGGAGGTGGATACGGATGGCAGAGGGAGAGGACGGGGAAGAGGGAGAGGGGGATCGAGAGGCGGGACAAGAGGTGGGGCACGAGGCGGAGCAAGAGGGGGGGGAAGAGGATTAGACACAGGCGGAGGGGCAGAGGCGGATGGAGTGGCAGCAGCAGGAACGGGGGCGAGAGGGGCAAGGGAGGGAGCTCGAGGGAAGAGAGGAAGGGGGAGGGGACCCTCACAAAGCCCTGTAGTGCCTGCCCTAATTCCAAGGGCGCAGGATTTTGTGTTGAAGCTGACAGACGAAATGAGGCAGGCTGCGAAAGAGGCTGTGAGGGCGAGGGGGTGGGGGAGGTTCCCGGGTATGGAAAGCGAGCAGGAGAGGGTGCTGGGAGGGACTGCGCCTGAGTTACGATACCTGCTGGATATGACTGTCGGCAGGTGGGTGGGTGTGTGTGGAGCGGTGTGAAATGATGCTAGATGGATAAAGGAATTTCTTGCAAAGCCACAACTGTGATACCTGTTGCATACCTCCTCCCTCCCTCCCAACAGCCATCCCAGCCAGCGTCTGATCAACAGCTTCCAAAGACTTCATATCCCTCTCTCACCTCACCATTGTGTCCTTTCATTATCCTCATCCGTGTGTGCCTTGGCAGTGAGATGGTGAACGCCATGCCAGTAGAGTGGGTGCGCTGCCTTGCGAGGATGCCCCTGGTGGACGCAGAAGCCTATCTGCGCTCGCTGGAGTCGCTGCTCCCACACCCTGCTGCTCCTGTCAGCCACTCGCTCCATCCATGCCCATCCATGCCCATCCACGCCCATCCACGCACTGTGGCTGCACTCTGGCTGTGCTTTCTAGGCACTTTGAAACGACATGGCCATGCATGCATGCATACACGTAGTCCCATGCATGTGCACTTCTCTCCTTCCGACACATGTGTTCATCTCTCAGACTGCATTGCGTGTGTGCCTTCTTGCATTGCATTTGCATATCTCTTGTCACGTGTCAAATTTGCATTCATGCGTGCATGCATGGATGGATGGATGTATGTGCATGGCAACTGCAGCCAGGAGTGGCAGCAGCACTTGTGGATCCAAAAAGGAGAGCTTTTTTAGAAGTGCACATACATCCACGCCACGGCATTCAGTATGTGGTGAGTGCTGCGGCTGAAGCAGCAGGCAGTGGTGAATTGTGAAACGCCTGAAAACTCGTTTCTCTGCCTGCAAGTTCCTGTGGGTCTCTTTCGAAGTGCACTTACATTCACGCCATGGCATACAGTATGCGGTGAGTCACTTGAGTTGAGATGCTCCGGCTGAGGCAGCAGCCAGTGGTGAGTCTTGAGGTACCTCAAAAGACATCTCTCTCTTCCCTTCTCTACCCGCTTTGATTGTCTGGTTCTGGTTCTTTTTACAAGAAGTGCACGTACATCCACCATGAAGGTGAGCTGCGCTACTGCTGCTGCCTGGGAACACGGGCCCAACCCCCCCTCGCTCCCCTCGTCCCCTCCCCTACCTCTTCTTCTTGTGCGGGTTTCTCCACTTCCCTTTACCCCGTGCCCATACTCTTCTCTGCTTTCGATACAGTGAGTGGCACAGGACCGGGGACGGGCGGGGGGTTGGGGGGGTGGTCGGCCGCGCTCAGACTGCTGACCCATGCACAAATCATGAAGGTGCTCTTCCTGCTGCCACTGCCTTCCTGCTGCCACTGCAAAATTGGAGTGCGACAACCCCCCTTCCCTGTACCCCTTTCCCACAATCCCCTCTCCCCCTGCAACAGGGAGTGGCACAGGACCCGGGGGGGTCAGCAGCACACAGGGTACTAACCCACATGCGGGTCATGAAGGTGCTGTTCCTGCTGCCGCTGCACCCGCACAAGCGCAAGGCCATGCGCTGGTGCCAGCGCGTGTGCCAGCAGGGCATTGTTGTGGGGCTCCGGCACTTCAAGTACCTCGGTGGGTTGCCCAGGTTGGGTTGCCCAGGTTGGGTTGCCCAGGTTGGGTTGCCCAGGTTGGTTGCCGGGTTGGGTTCTCTGTTTTTAGGCGCCTCAAAAACCACCTCATTACAGCGCGTGTGCCAGCAGGGCATCGTCGTGGGGCTCCAGCGCTTCAAGTACCTCGGTGGGTTGGCCGGGTGGGTCTGGTTGGCGACTTCAAGTGATGATCATGCCAGTTGGTATGGGTGTGTGGATGTGTGAGTTTAGAATTGACTCAAAACACACTCATGAGTCTTTTCAAAACTGTAACTCGGCAAATTGCCTAGTTGATTACTTACCCTGGTTCCCTGGCTGGTTGTTTGGTTGACGGTTTCTTTTGAGACACATTGTGGGTTGAACAACTACTGGGAACGGGTGGTAGGCGGGTAGAATTCTAATGCTCAGGTGCCAATCAAAACGTGTGTCCATTCCGAGGGTTCTTGCTAGCTGCTTGCATGCTTCATGTCCTATGTATGCTTCATGTCCTATGTATGCTTCATGTCCTATGCATGCTTCATGTCCTATGCATGCTTCATGTCCTATGTATGCTTCATGTCCTATGCATGCTTCATGTCCTATGTATGCTTCATGTCCTATGTATGCTTCATGTCCTATGTATGCTTCATGTCCTATGTATGCTTCATGTCCTATGCATGCTTCATGTCCTATGCATGCTTCATGTCCTATGCATGCTTCATGTCCTATGTATGCTTCATGTCCTATGTATGCTTCATGTCCTATGTATGCTTCATGTCCTATGTATGCTTCATGTCCTATGTATGCTTCATGTCCTATGCATGCTTCATGTCCTATGCATGCTTCATGTCCTATGCATGCTTCATGTCCTATGCATGCTTCATGTCCTATGTATGCTTCATGTCCTATGTATGCTTCATGTCCTATGCATGCTTCATGTCCTATGTATGCTTCATGTCCTATGTATGCTTCATGTCCTATGTATGCTTCATGTCCTATGTATGCTTCATGTCCTATGTATGCTTCATGTCCTATGCATGCTTCATGTCCTATGCATGCTTCATGTCCTATGCATGCTTCATGTCCTATGTATGCTTCATGTCCTATGCATGCTTCATGTCCTATGTATGCTTCATGTCCTATGCATGCTTCATGTCCTATGTATGCTTCATGTCCTATGTATGCTTCATGTCCTATGTATGCTTCATGTCCTATGTATGCTTCATGTCCTATGTATGCTTCATGTCCTATGTATGCTTCATGTCCTATGCATGCTTCATGTCCTATGCATGCTTCATGTCCTATGTATGCTTCATGTCCTATGCATGCTTCATGTCCTATGCATGCTTCATGTCCTATGTATGCTTCATGTCCTATGTATGCTTCATGTCCTATGTATGCTTCATGTCCTATGTATGCTTCATGTCCTATGCTATGCTTCATGTCCTATGTATGCTTCATGTCCTATGCATGCTTCATGTCCTATGTATGCTTCATGTCCTATGTATGCTTCATGTCTTCATGTCCTATGTATGCTTCATGTCCTATGTATGCTTCATGTCCTATGTATGCTTCATGTCCTATGTATGCTTCATGTCCTATGCATGCTTCATGTCCTATGCATGCTTCATGTCCTATGTATGCTTCATGTCCTATGTATGCTTCATGTCCTATGTATGCTTCATGTCCTATGTATGCTTCATGTCCTATGCATGCTTCATGTCCTATGTATGCTTCATGTCCTATGTATGCTTCATGTCCTATGCATGCTTCATGTCCTATGTATGCTTCATGTCCTATGTATGCTTCATGTCCTATGTATGCTTCATGTCCTATGTATGCTTCATGTCCTATGTATGCTTCATGTCCTATGTATGCTTCATGTCCTATGTATGCTTCATGTCCTATGTATGCTTCATGTCCTATGCATGCTTCATGTCCTATGTATGCTTCATGTCCTATGCATGCTTCATGTCCTATGTATGCTTCATGTCCTATGTATGCTTCATGTCCTATGTCATGTCCTATGCATGCTTCATGTCCTATGCATGCTTCATGTCCTATGTATGCTTCATGTCCTATGCATGCTTCATGTCCTATGTATGCTTCATGTCCTATGTATGCTTCATGTCCTATGCATGCTTCATGTCCTATGTATGCTTCATGTCCTATGTATGCTTCATGTCCTATGTATGCTTCATGTCCTATGTATGCTTCATGTCCTATGTATGCTTCATGTCCTATGCATGCTTCATGTCCTATGTATGCTTCATGTCCTATGCATGCTTCATGTCCTATGTATGCTTCATGTCCTATGCATGCTTCATGTCCTATGTATGCTTCATGTCCTATGCATGCTTCATGTCCTATGTATGCTTCATGTCCTATGTATGCTTCATGTCCTATGTATGCTTCATGTCCTATGTATGCTTCATGTCCTATGCATGCTTCATGTCCTATGTATGCTTCATGTCCTATGTATGCTTCATGTCCTATGTATGCTTCATGTCCTGCTTCATGTCCTATGCATGCTTCATGTCCTATGCATGCTTCATGTCCTATGCATGCTTCATGTCCTATGTATGCTTCATGTCCTATGTATGCTTCATGTCCTATGTATGCTTCATGTCCTATGCATGCTTCATGTCCTATGTATGCTTCATGTCCTATGTATGCTTCATGTCCTATGCATGCTTCATGTCCTATGTATGCTTCATGTCCTATGTATGCTTCATGTCCTATGTATGCTTCATGTCCTATGTATGCTTCATGTCCTATGCATGCTTCATGTCCTATGTATGCTTCATGTCCTATGTATGCTTCATGTCCTATGCATGCTTCATGTCCTATGTATGCTTCATGTCCTATGTATGCTTCATGTCCTATGTATGCTTCATGTCCTATGTATGCTTCATGTCCTATGTATGCTTCATGTCCTATGCATGCTTCATGTCCTATGCATGCTTCATGTCCTATGTATGCTTCATGTCCTATGTATGCTTCATGTCCTATGCATGCTTCATGTCCTATGTATGCTTCATGTCCTATGTATGCTTCATGTCCTATGTATGCTTCATGTCCTATGCATGCTTCATGTCCTATGTATGCTTCATGTCCTATGCATGCTTCATGTCCTATGTATGCTTCATGTCCTATGTATGCTTCATGTCCTATGTATGCTTCATGTCCTATGTATGCTTCATGTCCTATGTATGCTTCATGTCCTATGTATGCTTCATGTCCTATGCATGCTTCATGTCCTATGTATGCTTCATGTCCTATGTATGCTTCATGTCCTATGTATGCTTCATGTCCTATGCATGCTTCATGTCCTATGCATGCTTCATGTCCTATGCATGCTTCATGTCCTATGCATGCTTCATGTCCTATGTATGCTTCATGTCCTATGTATGCTTCATGTCCTATGTATGCTTCATGTCCTATGCATGCTTCATGTCCTATGTATGCTTCATGTCCTATGTATGCTTCATGTCCTATGCATGCTTCATGTCCTATGTATGCTTCATGTCCTATGTATGCTTCATGTCCTATGTATGCTTCATGTCCTATGTATGCTTCATGTCCTATGCATGCTTCATGTCCTATGTATGCTTCATGTCCTATGTATGCTTCATGTCCTATGCATGCTTCATGTCCTATGTATGCTTCATGTCCTATGTATGCTTCATGTCCTATGTATGCTTCATGTCCTATGTATGCTTCATGTCCTATGTATGCTTCATGTCCTATGCATGCTTCATGTCCTATGCATGCTTCATGTCCTATGTATGCTTCATGTCCTATGTATGCTTCATGTCCTATGCATGCTTCATGTCCTATGTATGCTTCATGTCCTATGTATGCTTCATGTCCTATGTATGCTTCATGTCCTATGCATGCTTCATGTCCTATGTATGCTTCATGTCCTATGCATGCTTCATGTCCTATGTATGCTTCATGTCCTATGTATGCTTCATGTCCTATGTATGCTTCATGTCCTATGTATGCTTCATGTCCTATGCATGCTTCATGTCCTATGCATGCTTCATGTCCTATGCATGCTTCATGTCCTATGTATGCTTCATGTCCTATGCATGCTTCATGTCCTATGTATGCTTCATGTCCTATGTATGCTTCATGTCCTATGCATGCTTCATGTCCTATGTATGCTTCATGTCCTATGTATGCTTCATGTCCTATGTATGCTTCATGTCCTATGCATGCTTCATGTCCTATGCATGCTTCATGTCCTATGCATGCTTCATGTCCTATGCATGCTTCATGTCCTATGTATGCTTCATGTCGTATGCATGCTTCATGTCCTATGTATGCTTCATGTCCTATGCATGCTTCATGTCCTATGTATGCTTCATGTCCTATGCATGCTTCATGTCCTATGTATGCTTCATGTCCTATGTATGCTTCATGTCGTATGCATGCTTCATGTCCTATGTATGCTTCATGTCCTATGTATGCTTCATGTCCTATGTATGCTTCATGTCCTATGCATGCTTCATGTCCTATGTATGCTTCATGTCCTATGTATGCTTCATGTCCTATGCATGCTTCATGTCCTATGTATGCTTCATGTCCTATGCATGCTTCATGTCCTATGTATGCTTCATGTCCTATGTATGCTTCATGTCCTATGTATGCTTCATGTCCTATGTATGCTTCATGTCCTATGCATGCTTCATGTCCTATGTATGCTTCATGTCCTATGTATGCTTCATGTCCTATGTATGCTTCATGTCGTATGCATGCTTCATGTCCTATGCATGCTTCATGTCCTATGTATGCTTCATGTCCTATGTATGCTTCATGTCCTATGTATGCTTCATGTCCTATGCATGCTTCATGTCCTATGTATGCTTCATGTCCTATGTATGCTTCATGTCCTATGCATGCTTCATGTGCTATGTATGCTTCATGTCCTATGTATGCTTCATGTCCTATGTATGCTTCATGTCCTATGTATGCTTCATGTCCTATGCATGCTTCATG